CTGTCAAAGCCTTGTCAGAACGAGGAGGGCCTGTCTGCCTATTCCAGTCGGGGCTTTCACAAGAAAAGACAAAGAAGCAATAGATGGACGTGGGGGACAGGAGCTCGGGTGCCCTTCGGCTTTCGAAGCTACCTGCCAAGCCCTGAACTTCAAAGAAAGAGACAGGAAAGGCAGAATTGAAAGCACAGAAAGAGACTTGAAAAGACTTGTTTTCAAGTTTCTGCTCTCCTACCCGTCTCTCTCTCTCTCTCTCTTTTTTTTTTTTTTTTCTCTCTCCAAGTGACTGGCTCCCTTTACATCTGTCTCTTTCGTGGCTTTGTTTTTTTTCCTGTATTGCCGATGCTCAGGCTGCCGCGACAGTCTGGATCTAATCTGATCACAAGCCCAAAGGGTCCCTTTTGACACTCGCCTGTTATAGGCTTGGTGGGGGAAAACGTGAAGGGATTTCCAAGGGAGCTGTTTTAATTAATTAACAGCAGGACAGAAGCCAAGTTTACTTCCCTTGACGGAACGGACCTCTAGGTTGCCTCACGGTGGAACACGGGACTTCCGTCTTAGCGTGACGTGGTCCAGCCAAGGGTTTGGGGTGGCTGCGTTTCTCAGTTCGTTCTCAGTCCCAAGAAGCCCTCGGCTCCCATCTTTTCCTCTCAGGCTTCCTGACCACCCCCTCACGCCCCCTCCCGTGAGGACACTCAGCTGGTCCTCTTGCACGTCTCGGATCAGACTGAGCTCTACTAAAATTGTGTACCAGGTTTGACGTAGGTGCCTCACGATCCAAGCAGAGCTCGCTATTTCCGGGACTTCTAAGTATACAAGTATCTGTAGCTATATAAAAAGACAACACCTTCAGGGTTTGCACTACAGCAGGGATATTTTTAAGGCTGCTTTGAACCAGGCTAAAAAAAAAAAAAAAATCACTCCGTGGCTCACCTTGAAAAGTATTCAAAGGTGTCTCGGTTCTTTCTTGACAGACCCAACGCAGCATGGTTGTTTCTGACGCCCATCCCTCTGTGCCCCCACCTAAACGTGGGCCTAACACTTAGAGGTGATTTTTAGAGGACTCCCTGAGACTCAAACACAAACAAGCTGAACCAAGCATACCTTCCTGGGTTGGCCTCTGCCTTCCACCTTCAGGACCGTGTGTGCCAAGTGCTGAAGGTGGGCCTTGGTGAAAACTCAACTTCAAGAGAAAATCCCTTCAGACAAGGGTGCCGTCATCAGCACTCAGAATAGAGAATAGTCACCAGGTCAGAACAGTGGGACTAAGGATGGTCAGGGGACGAATGTGAAGGAAAGAAACAAGAATTCCTTGCCGGCCTTGGCAGCTTTGCTTGGCTGCGCATGTGACTAAAAACCCCAAGAGAAAAAGGCAACAACAGAGCAGGTCCTTCTTTTGGTAGCACAGAGAACTAGGAGACTCGCTGCAGCTGGGAAACAGCGGCACACGAGTGGCACACATGATAAGGAGGCAGGACACCCCAGCCCCACCATCACTTCCCACTCTGTCTGCCAGAGTTCTCGCAGAATTTGAGAAAAGTGCACCAGGTATGACCAACTCAGTGTTTTGAAAGATGCTCATGGCAAAGGAAGTCGCTACAACCGGACACGTTTGTGGGCCCATTTTTTTAAAATCATTTCTCTCTGACACATACATAAGCCGTGGAAGGAATCTTATGAGCATGGACAGTCCGTGAGAGCTGCTTTTCAGCGCATCTTCTCTGCTGTGATTTGTGACCGGAGGGCATTATTTGGGCTAGGTTAGTCTACACGGGCTTGCTTTTTCCGCACCCTTGTCTGCTTTCTCATTGTGCTATACGCAGTTTTAAAGCGTGTTTCATCTCTTTACTTCATAGACCTACAAAGTAATGTAAGCTCAAAGGTGGATACACACACACACACACACACACACACACACACACACACACACACTCATGATAGCAGAAAGATTTTTGTTAGCGGAAACTCCAGTGAAATTGCAGAACTTCCTTTTGCTTCTTGTGGGTACAAAACCCACAATTTGGGAACTTCTTGAGCTTGTCTTAAGGTTGCAGGGTCCTAAATGACACCCTCCCCATCTGCTTAGTGTTCAGGGAAGACTCCACCTGGCAGCCAGGGAGTGCCCAGCATCTGCACACTGGGCACCACCAGGGAGTCGCACCCCTACCTGCCTCCTTCATATTCTTCTTCTTTTCCTTTCTGTTCCTTCCAATGCTCTCTTTTACTCACTCCTTTTCCTAGTCCCCAAAGTGTCTTTCCTTCCCCCCTTTTTCCTCCCACAGTTTACACGGAGATTAAACAGAAACACAGGTTTAAACCACTTTCCAGAATGAACACCTGTGTAGCATGAATCTTAACAGTTCTTATTAATAAATTCAAACCTGAGGCCAGTTATTGGGGTGAATATTGGAAGATCAGAGAGACCGAACAAGCCACAGCTAACCTCACCTGGCCAACTTCTCAGCTGGTCTTGTTTCCTCAGACTGGAAGCCTCTGTGTCCTCATCCAGAATGGGTCTCAACTGAACTGTGCTGCTAGAAGCCTGAAAGCTTAACCAGCCAAATGCTTAACCAGCCAAATGCTTCTAGTTTCTGATCCTCATGCCTTATATACCTTTCTGCTTTCTACCACCACTCCCTGGGATTAAAGGCTCCCTTTCTGAGAGTAAAGGCTTGAGTCACCATGCTTGGGTGTATCCTTGAACACTTGGATTTCTGCCTCTGGAATGCTAGGATTAAAGGCGTGTGCTACCACTGCCTATCCTTTATGTTTAATATTGTGGCTGATCTGTCTCTGACCCCAGATAAGTTTATTAGCATGCACAATATTTCAGAGAACACAATACCACACACCTGCCCATTGCCTCATCCTTCCCATTCCTTGTGGCATCTGAGTTAGTCAGTTCTCCATCACAGTGACAAAGATTTATTATTCTGGCTCCTGGTTTCAGGGCTTCCATCCCCTGTCATCTGGTCCTTTTGCTTGGGACCGAGGGGAAGCAAAACATCATGGCCGTGGAAGCCTGGGGCAAAGGCTGCTCACTTTGTAGTGCCAGGAAACAAATTAAAATAAATAAATAAATAGATAGATAGATAGATAGATAGATAGATAGATAGATAGACAGATAAATAAATAGATAAATAAATAGACAGGCAAAAGCTAGGATCTAGTTATTCCCTGCAAAGACATGTCTTCCTCCAGTGACATCCTACCTACCACAGTGCCACCACCTCCACTGGCCTGCTGTCAACGGAGTAAGTCAGGGATGAGGAGGCCGCCGGTTTCCCTGAAAATGCACTCGCAGACAGAGTGGGTGGCATGGAGACAAATCTCCTCGATAGCACTTACCCAATCAAGTTGGCCATCAGAATTAGCATCACACAGTCCAAGCCACATTCCAACCTACTTGCTGTTGTTCATTGCCCCTCTGAGGCCTTTGAGAGCACAACTATGCCACACATTCGTTGCCTAGACTGACACGTTTGGATAATAAAAAAAATGTAGGTAAGGACTGGCAGGGTGGCTTCGTGGGTACAGGTGCTGGCCAGCAAGCCTGGCAGCCTGACTTCCATCTCCAGGACCCACGTGATAGAAAGAGAGAGCTGACTCCCTGGAGTCGTCCTCTGATCCCTGCATGTATGGTGTAGCATGCATGCGCCCTACCCAATTTTTAAAAAACTGTTTTAAAAATGCAGTGGATTGAAACACAAAATAAATTTAAATTCACGAGTATATAATGTTGCTCAAAACACATTTTTAAAAAAGAGAGAGAGAGCTTTAGGTTAGCGGCTAATGAAGCTGTGAGAGCAGAAATGACCCCTTCCTGTGTCACTAAAATAGACATTTGCATGTTCTATCACTCTGAGCACACTTCTGTCTTCCATTATAGAAGTCAGCATTCTAACCTGCCATGATTCCCACACATGGGGAAGGGAGAGGCCTGGGTGCTCACCTGCCATGCCCAGCTGTGGAGGAAGCACTCTCCAAGAGAAATATTTTCATTTGATTTGCTTCTAACTTAAAAAGTAGAATAAGATGCCCCCCCCCCCGATAATATGCTGCTAGGTAACATAGCCAACAAAAAAGCCTAGTAGAAAATTGTGGGGCTGAGGATATTTTGAGGAACTCATCATGCTGGAATCTAGGCAGTAATCAGTTTAAAATGAGAATCTTTTGTACCTTGAGTGTTCCCAGGGAAGAAAAATCAAAGATTAAAAGAGAGAGATGTGCTTCGTGTCCCTAATCGCTACACTTTGCATGCCTATTTTGTGTGCTTATCCCATGCATTTACCCATTAATTATGTCAATAATGAAGGAGAAATGAGGCACTTCACTTGGGGCACAGCTGTTTACAGTGATTGCTTTGAGCATGGTATTTTTTTTTCCAGCACCTTTCCCAAAGTGTCTCATCACCAACATGCTCAGTTGATCATTCTTTGCCCTAAATCCCCAAATGGAATCAGTCACCGCCTGGATGCTTCCATTGCAGCTGACTCGGCTTATCTGGAGAGCTTTGGTGTCTGTCCCTGACTCCTTTGGAAGCTGCAATAATGACAAATGCTTGAAAAACCAAAGTCAAGTCGAAGGATTGCTGGGCTTGCCTTTCCTTCCCCGTCATTGTCCAAAGCAAATCTGGAATGAGCATCTCATTCCAAAGCAGCTGTGGATCTTCAGCCTTGTTTGGGATCTCAGTGGTGGGGGTGGGGGTGGGGGTGGGAGGGGATGCTTGACGTTTTCATGCATTTGTGAGCACCCAGGAGGGGAGGAAGAGGTCCAAGTCACACCTCTCCCCTATGGTTCAGCAGCTTGCAGCTCTCAGAGAACCGGGCTGATGTGTCCAATGAGGTAAGAAAGTGCCCTCCGTATAGGTTGAACGACATTTGGGTTGGATGGAGTGTGTACTCACTGCTGTAAGCACAGCCTAAGTGGAGAGGCCACACCCCTGCCCTGGCAATCCTGCCTCCTCACTCTGTCTCTTTTCCTACCACTTTCTCTTGCTTCAGGGAGGTTCAGAGAAAAGGCTTCAATTCTCCACAAGATTGCCAAGAAGAAATGCCAAGTGGATGAGAACGAGAGGCAGAATGGGGCTGCTAATCATGTGGGTGAGTGAGAGATATCCATCCTTTGTCCTTCCCTGGTGGGTAAGCCTGGCGGTGGGGGGGCACAGAAAGACAGAACCCAGTGTGGGCACCCCTGACCCTTCCTAAACAATGAAATGAGTCCCTCTTCTCCACCTGGGACAGAGCAGGAATGGACATGTATGTCACCAATAACACTAAGGGAAGTCCACGGATCACCAGGTATTCTGTTCAAGAGGTGACAGGCACCTGGCTTCAGAAAGCCAAAAGAAAAAAAGACACACCCAAGTCATTAATGTTTAGCCAGAGGTGGGAGGCCTGCTTCTGTACCCTTAACAGGTGATCAGACTGTATATCTATGATACTGCTGGCTGCATTCCCCACCCCACCCCCAAGTTACCACACTTACCCCAACAGAGTCCTTTTGAGTCCATGTCATCTCCTCTTTCTTAAAAATTCAGCAATATCAAGGCTTGGGATTGGATCAGCGGATAAACTGCTTGCTGCGTAACTGTGAGGACCTAAGTCCAAATCCCCAGAACTCACATAAATGATGGGCGGGAGTGGTGGCCCTACCTATAATCTCAGCACTTAGGACAGGGACAGAAGACTCCCCGGGGCAAGATAGCTAGCTAGACTAGACAAATTAGCAAACTCTGGGTTCCCCCAAGAAACCCTGCCTCAGTAAATAAAGTGGATATCAACCTCTGGCCTCCACACACATGTGCACAGGTGTACACCACACACACACATGCCTGAACACATGGACACATATGCTCCCACTACACACATATACACAGGCCAAAAAAAATAAAGTTAGGCAAAATCAACCTAGGTCTGTCTTGGCTGACTTTTCTAGAACTCCTGTGTGACCAGATTGTGACATTCAGGCATCTTATTTTAACTTGGGGCATCATGTTCCCTTTCTCCTGTCTGTAACTATAATATAGCTCTCAATTCCAAATTCAGACTAAATTTAACCTAATCTGGATCCATGCTGTAAACGAAGCTATTGCCCAAGTGACTAAAATTATCTACAGACAAATCTCAACAGTTTTGCCCTCAAAATACTCCATAGAAGACTTCCTGCCTCTCCTACCATCCTGAATTCTAGCCCAGGCAAAATTTTCAGCCAAGGAACAGACTAGAGTCGACTGAGTATTGATGGAGAAAGTGGGTAGGAATGAGTTCAAATGTTGACCAGGATTGGGTTATGAATTGCAGGTTTCCACCTGATCCCTTCTGCTTCCCTGAACCTGGAAACATTTTTTTTAGAATAAGCAGGGTTGTGGTTTTGTGTTGTAGAGTCAATGGGGAAGGATATTGCCTAGTTAAGCTCTGTGTGTGAGTTTTGGGTTCAATTACAAAGGCTACTTTTCCTACTCCAATTGTTGGTTTTTCTTTTGTGGGATAAAGTAGCTTAGAACAGAAGATTTATGTGGCCGGGTTCATTCCCAGACCTCCTCTTGCAGACTGGTGACTGGAGGCTTAGATTTAATCATCCATGACATATAACTCCAAGGAACTCCAGTGCTAATGGGGCTAGTGAAGGACGTGGTAACCAAAAGGAGTGTGTATGGAAAAAATCTATGCTTTCTAAAGGAACCCCAGGATTTATTTTCATATTTTCTGTGACAATAAAGACTGTGGTTTAAAAACACACCTGTGTAAGACGAATTGTTAAACTGTCTTATTAAAAAAAAAAAAAAAAACGGAGCCAGATATTGAGGTAAAAAACAAGAGATCAGAGGTATAGGACAAGCCACAGCCAACCTCACCTTACCAGCCCTCAGTCTCCAAAGAGACCTACTTCCTGTATACCCACACCTATATGCCTTTCTGTTCTGCCATCTCACTTCCCCTCTCCTCCCAGTTACATCACTTCCTGTCTGTCTGTACAGATCTCCAAACCTCTATGCTTAATGCTGGTATTAAAGGCATATACCACCATGCCTGGCTCTGTTCTCAATGTAGCATTGAACTCACAGAGATCTGGATGGATCTCTGCCTCCTGAATGCTAGGATTAGAGGCATGTGCTACCATTGCCTGACTTCTATGTTTACTATAGTAGCTGACTTTTTCCTCTGATCCTCAGATAAGATTTATTGGGGTACACAGATAAAATATCACCACACACTTGAGTTAGGGGCTGTGCCTGCGAAGTAGGTTCTTACTTGTCTGTGTCTATCCTGGAACATCTAAAACTCCTTCGGATCCTGTGATTCTGAGATCAAGTCTGACCTCAGCAATCTGCTACCGGAGGTGCATGAGGTCTTTTGTGTCCCCCAGATTCTCATGTTTTAGTTTAAATAACTGAATGAAACATACTGAGACAACCTGGCATGGCTACAGGCAGCAGAGACACTATGAATCATGGGTGGATTAGGGAAACCCGAATTCCTACACTTTCCATATCATCGTTTGTGCCTCAGAATACCACAGTTGAATTGTGAGCATTTCCCTAGGATTTCCGGTATTTGACTGCTTCAAACCAAATATTTTTACAGAATTCTCTTTGTCAGGGGGCATAATACGGTCTTACTACATAACCCAGGCTGGCCTTGAACTTGTGGCAACCCTCCTACATCCACCTACCAAGTGTTGAGATTTTAGGCATGGACCACTATGCTCAGCCCCACATAACTCTCTGTTTTCTTAGGCACTGATGACAGAAATATTTGATCCTTCTGAAATTGCTAGAGAAAAAAAAAGCACCACTTCCGTTCCTCTATGAGCATCATCCCGAGATTGCTCACATCTGGCACAGCTGAGCAGACTGCTGTCCAGCAACCCTGACTCCTGACTCAGCACCACACAAGCCTTGCCTCCTGAGGCTGAACAGAGTTGGTGCCAATGCCTTTCCTTTTCTTTCTTTATTTAAAAGATTTATATTCATTTTTGTGTGTCTACATGTGCCTCACATGTAGTGCACCCACACAGGTGCCCATGGAGGCCAGAGTAGGGAGAGTGTTGGACCGCTTAGAGCTGTAGTTAATGGCAATTGTGATCCCCCCGCCAAAATAGGTGCAGGAAACCGAACCCAGTTCTCTGAAAGAGCAGTAAGCGCTCTTAACTGCTGAGCCATCTCTCCAGCCTCAATGAAAGACTTTATCTTTCACTCCCACTTAAGTTCCAGTTGAACCCAATGGGGCCTGAACACTAGTCACCTGGAGGTGCTTCTCTTAGCCCTGGAAAAAAAATATCTTGCAAAAGGCAATTGCAGCGACAGAGATTCAGATCATTCATTTCTGGCTCGTCGGCTCTGCCGGGGATCTGTTCTGAGTGCTTTACATGCACTTTCCGACCTCTCTACAGAAGGGGCAGTGGGAGCAGCAATCGTAGTGATGGTAGTGGTCGCACTCACTGTTAGCAGCACTCAAGTTCTGTAGGTGAGGAAACCAGACGCCACAGAGGTTGAAACATTTGCTGAGGGTCACACGACATAAGCTGTCGAGTGAGTGGAAACACAGGCCTGTTTGATTCCTAGTGTTACAGAGGCCCAGGACCCAACCAAGCCTTGTTCCTTGTCTCAGCTCCCTCTTACTTTCCTTGGAGCAGAACACCCATGCAGAATGTGCTATGAGTGTTCTCAGGATTGTAAAAAAGAGACGGGTGGCCAAATCCTCCTTCCCTGTGCCCCCTCCTCCCCTCCTGGCCCTGGCAGTTTTGTAGCATGAAGACTGAGAATATTAGAGCTGAAAGCAGTCTCTGCCTGGCCATCAGTCACAATGAACCATTCACTTCATAGAAGAGGTGTCCCGGCCCGGAGAAAAAGGGGGCCTGCCAAAGATGGCGGGCTAATGGTGACATTGTACCCTGACCAGTATCCCTTATGGGGTGGGGTGTACTGTTGCAGGGGGGATCCAGCTATCTCACAGTCAGTATCTAAATGTCAAAGATATGTATCTGTGTCCTTGCATGATCTGTCATATATGGCAGCTGTTAGGGCCTCCAGTGATGTTATGTATGGTGGAAGCCAGAGCACAAGGCAGCCCAGGACAAATGATGAAAGCCCTTTACCAGTGCCCGACACCAGCTCAGGTCTCAGGTGCCTTCTCACCTTCTGGTCAGCATTCTAGAACATTCTTTCCAACATGGCCCCTTTTGCCCACTGATTCTGATTGTTCTCTTTGTGTTTAAATTATGCCACAGAAAAAATCGAACTTCCCAACAGCACAAGCACCGAGGTCGAAATGACACCATCAAGTGAAGCTTCAGAACCTGTGCAGAATGGGAACCTCTCCCACAGCATTGAAGCTACAGATGCCCCGGTATGATGCCGTGACAGTACACCTTCCTTGGTGGCTCAGCTCCCAGCTGTGTGGACACCAAGGAGGAGATGATTCATGTATGTGTATCTTTCCCAGGGCCTCACACAGGGAAAACTCTGTGTGCTTTGAATGAACATGCAAACTCTCTTAAAAGCCATCGTTTTCTCAGCATGAGGGGAAGAGCAGGTATCTCAGAGTCTGGGGATGAAAAGACATATGCTAATGAATCATAAAGCTTGATGGCTGTGTCTTTAAAGCCAGTGCTAAACAACAGAAAACTCACAGTCTTTTTATCTTTTACCTCAGTGATTGAAATTAATATTCTTTGGCCCCACCCACTATTCAACCACAACCAATGAACTGTTCCTCCTAGAAGTATTAATAATACCTAGCATTTATCAAACACCTACTACATGCCCATATGTGGTGCGGGATGCTTTAAGAATGCCCATCTTCATACCTCACAGCTAAAGGAACAGGCCTTGGTACCTCCACCGTGCAGTTGAGGAAGCTGAGCTGGGTGAGATGAAGTGATTAACTGGGTTACCTAGTTGTGAGTAGTGAGCTGAGACTCCATCTCAGGCATGTCTAAATGCAGTGCCTGGGCTACTTCGGCCACGAGCACTGTCTTTAGAGCACGGTTGCTCAAAACGTGGGCAGAACCACCTGGCGCTTACTAGATATTTGGGTCTTGTCCTGATCAGATCAATCACAACTTCTAAGGCATGGGGCCCCAGTTTTGCATCTGATCAAGTACCCTCCATCAAAGCTTCACAGGCTGAAAGACACTCCCGAATCCTCAGAGCAGGTGGGGCAGATGGGTCATGATAAAATGCAGATGCTGACTGGGCCCTCCGTGATGGCAGTGCTTCTGGCCGAAGGGCCACACTTTGAAGGGCATCACCCTCAAGTTTGCTAGCCAGTCTTGTCCCCGAATTTTCTCAGTGAGCTGTGGCACAGTACCCACAAAGAGAACTGAGACAACAGACAGTGTGGTCTAGCACTTCTTTCTTTTATATCAGAAAATGCTCTGCAACAGGGGCCGTCTGCCCTCTGGGAAAAACATGTGACTTCTTACATGGTGTCCCTGATCTCTAAGAGCAATTTAGAGGCAGTCTCTCCGCCTGTCTGAAGAGAACTCAGCTCTGGCTGCCCTTGTGTCCTCTGCCTTCCAGCCTCTCACCCTCCTGCCCAGAGCCCTGGACTGGCACCACGTCAGCTCAGCAGTGATCTGGCAGAGCGGCTTATGTCCACATGGATAAGCGGCATGTGGCGGCAGGAGGCAAGCTCCAAGGACATCTGGCTGCCCTTGGGGTTGGCACTGTCACAGGTGTGCAGAGGGACACCTCATCACCCTACCACTCCATCTGCCTGGCCCAGGGACATCTGTGTCCCTTCAAGGGAGGACCTTGCTGCAGGAGAGCCAAAGACTCGCTGACCTCTGTCCGCAGAGCCGCCCCGGGTCTCAGTGCAGGGAGACGCACAGATTTGTGTGCCGTGCTGGCTCTCCTGGAGAGCAGTCAAGCTATCAAAAAGTCATCACTATAGCTGACTACAGGGTGACCTGCTGGTGCATTCCAAAGCCACAGGGCAAGTTGCCAGCCTGACTGGGCACTCACTGTCTCCTCCTTAAAGCACAGATCCTGAAAATACTGCCTCATTGGTGCTATCGTGAGAGCTAGATGTACCCTGGGCACAGGGCCACATGCTATCTACTTACATCATATGCCCAAACTCACTGCTTAAACAGCATTCACCCCTTCCTTTAAGGATTCCTTGCAGGTGAAAATGAAAGGGGGTTGTACGTGTGTACACAGGATATAAATAAGTCAGCCAACAAACATTTGGTAGTTAATAATGGCCCAGAGTGATCACGGAGGTCTCTGTGTACCGTGCTCTGGGGGCCTGACAAAGAAAAAAGAAAGAAATTGATCTTATCTGGGGAAGATATGAAAACTCTAGACCGTGTAACATTTGAGCTGGAGATATAGGTTGGTAGTAGAACACTTGCCTAGCATGCACAAGGTCCTGGGTTCCATCTCTGGTACCACAAAAATAAGGAGGAGGGCAGAATAGAAAAAGACCGGACACAGGAAAGTGAGCCGAGAACACAGAAGCTTAGGGATCAGCATGCTGGGATCCATAGGCCAGTTTGGCCTGTTGCCTGTGTCTATATGACCCAAGGGGCTAGAATGGTTTGTACATTTTCAAAATGTTTTTGTGTAAAAGGAAGCAGGAGCATATGGAACAGGGACCATATGGACCCCAAAGCCTGAAATATTTACTGTCTGGCCCTTTGTGGAGTGCGGGGGAGGGGTACTGCTTGTGCCCAATATAGACCATCTGCAGTCTTTAGAGAGAACGCTCTCCTATACTGACTTGGAACGGTCCTCGGTATGTGTTGTTAAGTGAAAAGGCACAGTGCCAAAGTGTATCCTAGATTGTGAGATACAGCAGTACACTGTCTGATGCTGAAGGAAAAAAAAAAGGGACCAGCATGCAAGCCTGTGCTTAGGATGCTGCTGGAGAAATTAGCGATGTCCATTACCTCCAGAGATTTCTGTGGGTTTTGCATTTTGAACCAAGTAATTGTGTTACCTAGTCAAAAAAAAAATTGAGTAATAACAATAAAAATAATAATGGGTTAAATTTGGAATGAGGATGTAGCTCAGTAGGGAGAGTGCTTGCCGAGCATATACAGAGCCTTGGCTTCTACCCGCAACATCACAAAAAGGGAGTATCTGTAATCCCAGCATGTGAGAGGTGTAGGATCAGAAGTTCACGCTCATCCTCCAGTACATCATGATGGTGATGATGGGTTAAATTAAAACAGTATTCTTTAGTCATTCAAGCATAGACTACTGTAGCAAACCACTAGAGTTCAAATCCCTACCCTTTCCCTTATGTGCCTAGAGCCATGTACTCAATCTCTCTGTTCTCCACATTCCTTCTCTGTGAAACAGTAATTTAAAAAAAAAATGCTTCTCTCATAGTGTTAGTGTGAGGCTCAGTTGCTCTTTGAATAGTTCTTGACATACAGTGAGTGCCTCACGGGGGGTTCATGAAGTTGAGAATACTTGAAAAAAATCTTTTCTTGATAGTTATCAAGTAGCACAGATGATGAGGTTTTCCTTGGTGTTGGTTGTAAGGTGAAACATGGCAGGATTTCAGAGCTATTTCAGAGCCAGAACTGAGAAGCTAAAACTGGCCATAGCAAGTAAACAGAAAAACAGGGGCCATAGAGAAGGCTGAGGCTGACTGACTGCAAAAACTGGGGGTGGGTTAGATTAGGGTTACAACTCCAGGGTAAGAAAAAAAAACAAGATTCGCCATCAGGGCATTCTGGCCTCCCGGCACGGCTTCGCAGAAATGATCCAGTGCCTCTGTGTTGTTGGTTTTGTGCCTAAGTTGTCTTTTTATCAAGTCCCATGACAGTGAGGTGGGCATGGAAATTCTGAGCATGGCCATGCTGCACACTCACTGCTGCTGTTCTAAGAGTTTAGCCTGTCTCCTCACTTGACCTGCCGTTTTGAAAATCCCCATTTCCAAATGAGTTCATCTCACCTTGACACCTTGGCTCAGAGGTTTCTCCAGCACAGACTTTCCATGGCCCATGACTGGGAGGAGCTTATGAAATAATGGAGGACATGAGCCCTGTGTAGCAGAGGACTTGGCACATGTCCACACAACTGCAGATGAGCGTAGCCTTTTCCACTCTTCAGTGCTACTCTCTTCTCTCCACCTGCCCTCCCAGTGCCGCACAGGAAGTGGACTAGAGCTGCCATAGGTTTGCATCCCATCCAAATCTTCAGTGTGGAGAATTTCCCTAGACATAGACAGACACTCATGTTTTCTTGCATTTTGACAATCTGTGGAGAGCTTGCCTAGTACATGTAAGGGGCTCTGGAGCTGAGGGGACCACCTACCTGCATTTGAATTTTGCCAATCTAGGCAACACCCAGGTGATAGCCCTTGCCTGCATTCCCTGTTGCAGCTGCATGCTCCTTGGTGTGATGCATCTAAACCCTGCAGAGACACTCAGCAGATTTCAGGATCTAGCTAAAGAGCTCCCTGGTTTAAATTGTGCCTGCTTTTTTTTTCTCTTTGAGACATGGTCTCACTATATAGTCCCGCTGGCCTAGAACTCACTATGTAGACCAGGCTGGCCTCAAACTCACAGAGATCTACATGCCTCTGCCTACCTAGTGCTGGGATTAAAGACGAGTGACTATGCCTGGCAATGCACGATGAAGCAACTTTTTTTCTGTGCTCAGCTCTGATTTGATTTTGCCTGAGATTTCTTTGCCTTTAGGAAAATCTTAATTATTCTTGTTTTAGTTGTGGCCCGGTTATATCCATGGGTAAGGAAATTCATGTAAGAAAATTACATCCTTGGATGGAAGGATGGATGGTTGGGTGGATGGATGGATAGATGTGTGGATGAATGGATGAACAGATGGATAGACAGATAGATGGATATGTAAATGAATGCATGGGTGGATGGATGGTTGGATGGATGGATGGATGGATGGATGGATGGATGGATGGATGGATGGATGGATGGACAGATAGATGGACAGACTTATGTGTGTGTGAATGGATGTGTGGATGGATGAATGGATGATGTGCAGAATGAAAAACAGACCTATGGTCTGTAAAATGCAGGCTCTTTTCTTTTTTCCTCACCTTATACTCTGAGTATCACCATACTGTGTTAAAACTTCTTTCCATTTTATAAGAGCTCTGATGTATTTCTCCATAGGGCGACCTTCCCTAAACTCAATAGAGTTTTCAAGATCTGCTTTCTGCAAGCCCCGTTGGGTGACTAAGTAAAGGATGAATAGAGGAAAGTGATAGAGGTGACTGTGTGTTTGAATTTCTCTTTAAAAAAAAAAAAAGAATTAAATGCTTAAAAATACCTCCTGCCTCTTAAATTTAGGTTTCCAAGAGTGCCTTAGAAAAACAAAGTGCCATTTTCCAAGTTTGTCATTTGTTGCAGA